AACATACGTGACATGTTCAACTCAAATGCTTCTGAAAACTTGGATCTGGCTTATCATTTTTCACCTTGTGCCGGGGAAAAAAAAAATATTTGCCAAGTAAATGAGACTCTGGATTCTGTGTGCACCCTGTCCCCATGATAAGCATTTATAAGTGTGTGTGTAACGGAAAATAATGAGCAGAGGGAGCAGATGCGGTAGTACTTAACAAAATATTGGGGTTCTGAAAACTTCCCATTGGTTTATATGTATTTGTGTGTGTATGTAAAATTATGCATGTACTGAAAAATAGGTACACACTGGTGACACTACCATGGAGAGTGTGTCTATAATGGCCCTCTGAGCTCCTGAGGAGGAACCGAAATCCATCCCGGATCAGCTTGCTCTCTAGCCAGGACCGCTGGGTCACCTCCACCTGGAGGTAGTGGTGCCTTTTCCTAATTTGCTGTGATCCCTAGAGGTGCGTCTATTGGGAGAGTTGACACTTCCTATTTCACACCAGCAGTGGGAGGGGCAGGCCTGTTCCTTTGGGGTCAGACATTCATTTGGGTAGGTAACACCCTACTTCTTGGGCGCAAGTGTTTTTTAAGCCCAGACCCTTCTCCTACTTGCAGAAGCTGATGGCGACACCTGGTGGCCAGATCCTTTTCTTCTCAGCGCCTTTGAAAGGCCTCTCTGGGAGACTTGCACGGCAAGAGACTGCTTATTTATCCCTGACAAGATTGTATTGCCCTTTAACTCAGGAAACACTATTTTCAATGTGTGTTTCTATGCCTGGAACTTTCACTGGGTACTAGATACCTGGCATTTCACCAGAACCCCTCTGGGTTACAGGCTCAGGCTGAGATCCCAGCGACTCTGTCTCTTACCTACTGGTTCTTCTCTGTCCTCCCAGGACAGCAACACACACACACACACACACACACACACACACACACGACCATCAGAGAGAGAAAATGTCGTCATATATTTCCGTTGAAGGTACAAAAAGGAACTAAGAAATGTACGTTCGCAGTGCTGTTTGAGCTGAAGAGTTCAAGAAATGCAAAGCACATCTAACCGGAATCAGTTCACTTTACACCAGAAGTACAAAAACATCTTTCACATCATCTTCTTATGTGATGATTCTCATTTTAGGTAATGGGGGTGTTTTTTACTTCAAATTTCCAGTAGCTTCGTGCACAGACTCTCTAACGTAGAGTCAGACATTCGCACATGAAGACGAAACGTTTTTAGTTACTTCTTTAGCATCGGCAGGTGGTTTAGAAAGAAAGTCGAGCTTTTCTCATGTCTGTGTATCACCAGGCCTGGCATCATGATGCTGGCATGGCCCAAGATGAAGGAAACCCCCTCAGCTGATTTCAAACCTAAAGATTAGATCATTTTCCCAAACCCTGTAAGTATTGGCCCAACCCCGGGCCATGATATAGAGGGGGAGGCACCAGGGTCCCCTGTTTCTGAGCTGTAGGCCAAAGGTGTCACTCTCACTAAGTTGTAGGAAAGACAGACGTTCAAGGGACATCTGTTCCAAGCTGTTGATGGGCTTGGACTTCGGCCTCGGTGTTCTTAGTGCCTCTGTCACCTGGCCTTGTGCCCACACGTCCCTCCATTTCCTGTCCTGGGCTCATCCTGCTGGCTGAGCACATCTTGCTCCTGCTCTTAAGCTGAGTTGCACGGGGACTTCTTATCCCAAGCATTTTGAGGACAACAGTTCCTGGTGAGGCGGTTTGTGGGCAACTTGTTGAGATCAAGATTTTGTTTCAATCTCTCTGGAACTTTAAATCCTAAAGAGCCTAAGTTTTAAAGCATGTGATCTAGTATAGTGATTCTCAAACTCGAATGTGCACACAAATCACAGACCCTGTTAAAAGTCAGATTCTGATGGAACGAGTCAGGATCAGAGCCCAAAATGCCACACTTCTAACAAGCTCCCAGATGATGTCAAGGCCGCTCCTGGTCTGAGGACCACACTTGATGTTCCAAGGGCCTAGAGTGGGTCTCCATTTGGGCTGCATGTGAAAATCGTCTGGGGAGGCCCCTCTCCTGTAGATTCAGGTTTAATTAGTTTAGAGTGAGGTCCAGGTAATGGTATTGTTTAAAAGCTCCCCAGCACACACTCAACAGTATGATGATTGCCAGAGCGAAGGGGGGCCAGGGGAGGTAGAAAAGGGTAAAGGGGGGAAAAATGGTGATGGAAGGAGACTCGACTTGGGGTGGTGAACACACAGTACTATGTACATATGAATGTATTATAGAACTGTACACTTGAAAGCTATATAGTTTTATTAATCAGTGTCCATTAAATTCAATTAAAAATAAAAATAAATAAATGGAAGCTCTCAGGTATACATCCAAAGTTAAGAAGTACTAGTGTAAGAGTTAAAACTTGTATTTACCACTAAACGCACAAAAAGGAAATCCAAATCCCTTTCAAACCATTGAACTAACCTGTGGTGTGACTCTGAGAAAGTAATTTTCTTTTAGCCCCATCAAAGTTCCAAAGGGAATGATAGTTATTGCTTTTTAAACAGCATATAGGACTACTTGGATGAAAGAATATCATCTTGCTTAATTTTAGCCTGTTTCTTTTCATTCTGACAGAGTGTTAACTTATCCAAGCCAAGCATGTATCATTATCCATCTTATTTTCCTCTTTTGAAGCAAAACTGCCTTTAAATTTTCTTTGTTTGATTTAGCATCTTATAGACCAAGCACTCAAAATGGGGGTAAGATTGTCCCCAAGAGAATGAAAACCTTAGATATTACAATAGTTTTTGGCTCTCCAAAGCTTGGATGTACCTGATAAAATCTTATTTCTTTGTCTTTAATTTCTCCTATTAAGAAGCAATTACATTTAATTAAAATTGAAAATGTAAACTTTTCTGCTTAAGGGATGATAATAAAAAAGTTTGAGAAACACTGTTCTTGAGAGACAACCCAAACTACACTTATATATCCTTCCTGAGATGGAGAGTTTGTGATATCTTTTCTGAGGGGTGAAATTTGGGGTGTAACAACAATGATTTCTGAGAGAAAATTTCAAAAAGATTTTTCTCTCTTCTTAGTAAAAAGGTGTTGTCTTGATTAAAAAATTAGAGTTCCTGGAGCATCTAGCTCTCTATCCAATAATGAGCTCCTTGCTGATGTGACCCCCTGGAATGTGGTGTTGAGAGCATGGATATCAGGTCAGACACACCTGTTGTAACTCTGACCTCTCCTTCACTCTGTGGCTTTCAGCAGGTTCTTATACCGTCAAGTTGCATTTGCATCTGTACAATAAAAATAAAACTTAAGCTAGATTTGTTATTCAGATAAAACATGAATTGGGTGTAAAGGATTTAATACAGTGGCTGGTACATAATAAGTGCTCAATTAGTAGTGAGAGATATAGTGGTTGTTAATGTCTGCCTGTCTGTCTATCTATCTATCTATCTCCCTACCTATAACTTATCTTGCCTACCTGTCATCATCATAGTAAAATATCTATGGACACAAAACAATATCCTGAATCTCAAATCCTTTCCTCACCAGACCTGAGCGACTCCATATAACTACTTCATGACTCAGCCTTTCTGGGCTATGGAACAGTAGGCAGTAGGAGGCAAGTGCTCTCCTCTCCTGGGTCCTTGAAGACAGCCGCGCCTTGGTGCGGCAGCTGTCTGCAGTGCCGACAACTGTTAGTGACTAAGTGACCTGGGGGAGGAAGAAAGTATTCCGTGAAAGAAAAGTTGGTCTTGGATCCCAGTAGCCAGAGTGGGCTTTGATTTCTTCCTGCTATTTTTTTTATAGAGAGCTGGATATACTTTAGCCAAAGTAAATGTAACACCTACCCCCCCCCCCAAAGAAAGATTGAGGTTTAAAAAAAAAAGAAACCAAGAAAGAACCATACATATATACCAGGGAAAGAATAATTTTTATATATGTCCTCAAAAGTAAGTCATATCTGAAAGCTTTTATTTTGTTCCCATACTATTATTTATTCAATTTGGTGAATTCTGGAGTTTTAAATCTTGGTGTTGGAGAATACTGTTATTTTGTTTGGAATATGAGCTCCTTAAAGCACTCAGACATGGAAAAAAATGCCAAAATAAACTGGACTTGTTGCAAGTCTGTTGTTTCAGAGAATCGTTTTTAAAAATGCATTCAGATTTGTATAAACGCAAAACTGGGGTAGGTGTAATTAAAACCTACCCACAACTTTCTAGAACACTTTTCTTTTTTAATCCTCACCCAAGGATATATTTTTATTGATCTGAGAGAGACACGGAAAAGAGAAAAACATAATCAGCTGCCTCCTGCACACCCCCACTGGGGATCAGTCCTGCAGCCGGGCATGTACCCTGATAAGGAATTGAACTGGTGACCACTCAGTGTATGGGACAATGCTCAATGAACTGTGCCACACTGGCCAGGGCCATCCTGTTCTTGATACCCCAATAACTTATTTGTATCAACATGTCACTTTCTCCAGCTCTGTTTTCTCATTTGTAAAACTGATATAATGATATCTGTATATGTACCTGCAAGAATAGGGTCTACAGAGATATAGAAAGAAGTATGGTTCAGACTGACAAACCTCAGAGGAGGGGGTGGCGGGGAAGGATGAGATAAACCAAAGAACGTGTATGCATGCATGTGTAACCAATGGACACAGACAACAATGCTGGGAGCGGGGTGGATTGAGAGGAGGGTGCCTAGGGGGGGAAAGGAGAAATATCTGTAACAAAAATTCATTAATAAAAAAAAGAATTTAGAAAATGTTGAGACGTAGCTATTTGAAAGATCATGTTGAGACGCGATTACCATCATTAGAGATTTGGGGGCAGTTATTTTAGAAAGGACTCACAACAGTGATTGTAATTTATCCACTGTTTTTAAAACTTGAATGATCTGAATAACATATATGCAAGGGTTTCAGGAAGTCGTCAGTGTTTTTGGTTTTCCTTGATGGCCCTCTATGATAGTCTACCCTAAATCGAAAACGAACGCCTTCTTGTGTTCAGATCGCAGAGGGAATGGCGTACATCGAGAGGAAGAACTACATCCACCGGGACCTGCGAGCAGCTAATGTCCTGGTCTCTGAGTCACTCATGTGCAAAATTGCTGATTTTGGCCTTGCTCGAATAATTGAAGATAACGAGTACACAGCAAGGGAAGGTATGTTCCCCCAACAGTCTTTAGGCATTTTGTTTTTATTTAGTTTTAATTTTTGTTTTTAATAAAGCAGTTACAATAGTCATCACTAAAAAACAAAAACAAAACAAAAAAAAACATTTGGTAAGATATTCTAAATATATCATAATTGATGTTTGTGGTTCTATTCTAATACTTGTTTGAAAAAATTACTCTCTTGATTAACTCCACATGATACTTTCATAATGTTTACCAATGCTGTCTGTCATTTTTATTTCGCGTAAGCAAAGTAAAACAAAAAGAAATTTGGGAAGGTCAAGATTCTTTGTTTCTATTATATGTTAAAACTTTTCACTCAAATAATGAAGCGCACTTTCTTCACTGTGTAGAGAAAATATTTGCAACAGTAATTTTATATTCTATATTCTGGACTTTTCATAACAAATTAAAACATGGAAATTATTGCACACACAGAAGCAAATATAATGCTACAAAAATACACTCCCTTACTTTCCCACATTTCCTATTATAAACGTGGATAAAAAATGCACAGGAAGGCATACACCTCCCACTTCCTGGCATGTCGCTCTGTGCAGGCTGTCTGGCCTTCCTGTTCCAGTCCGTGGTGCTCACCACCTGAGGATTCTGCAGTCTCCCTCACGGAAGCTGAGTGAATATTTGTGCAGTGCTTTCTTTTCTCCGACAGAGCCACGCACGTTCTTGACATTCCTAAGAGTTATTAAGCAAGGATTATTTTCCTTTTAACTACATGTCTGTTATTTCTGGAAGGCATCCACAGGACTTACAGATTGAAAACACCATTTTGATCTGTGTAGCGTCTCTTGCCTCCAGCATGGCTAAGGTGGTTCTCCTCCTATCTCAGCCCAGTGTCCTCTCGGGTGGTTTATTACTCACACTTGACCTTAATTATCCTCAACAGAAAGGCCAGTGCAGAACAAGAGTTTGAGGAAAAGCCGTTTAAAATGTAATAGTGAAAATGGAGTGAGCATTTGTAGTGTGGCAGGCACCATTCTAAGTACTTTTCATACATTATCTCATTTATCTTTACCATAACCCTGTGTGATGGTGATGATGATTCCTGCCTCATAGATGAGGAAACGGAGAGGTTCATCAGCTGCTCAGGTCCCACAGTAAGTGGCAGAGCCAGGATTGAAACCCAGGAGATCTAGCTTCAAAATGCATGAGCTAGAATTCATTACACTGGTTTTGTTGACCTTGACAAGCCCAGAGTCTCACAAAAATAACTTCTTCTGAACGAGACAGGTGGCTTAGTGCAGAGAGTTTGGATTCTAGATTTAAACAGCAATGCAATTCACCTTTCATTGGTATGTACCTGTGCCAAGCATACAGATCAACCCACTTACCCCTGACAGCAACCTGGAGAGATTCAGTTGTCTTCTCATTTTACAAATGAAGGTGCCAGGAAGGCACAAAGACAGTAAGTGATTTGCAGGGTCACACCAAGCTGGAATCAGCAGAACCTGATTCAAACCCCAGCCATGGCCACCCTGCCCCCTACCCACACTGCTGCCCCAAGGGCAGGGGGTCTAATGCTGGGACGTGCTACTGTGGGTGCATCGCACACTGTAACTGCTCTGAGAGCTTCCTTCTGTCCTTTTGTTCTTATTCTTATTTCCAATTTTGGTCTGACACCACAAAAAATTCTAATGCAAAGACATAATAAAGGCAAATATGTTAAAAAACAAACAAACAAAAAAACACGTTTTAAGTTGTTGGTGGAGACGCCTAGCCTTGTCGGGGTGTAAGGGTGACAGTCTGCCTGAACCCCTCCTTTCCTCAAGGGGACCCTGCAGGTCCTCGCGCCAGGTTTGCCTCTCATGTTGCCTGGGACTGCAGACATTTTAAGTATAGCATTTTGTATCATCTCCAATCTGTACTGTGTGTGTTACCTATTCAAAATAAATCATCATAATTTTCTTAAAAGAAGGAAATTATGAGGGTCACATGGCCATTACTTTTTTGTGTCAGCTCAGACGCCCAAGTAAGACTCCTGTGTCTTCTCCCTTAGGTGCTAAATTCCCCATCAAGTGGACGGCTCCGGAAGCAATCAACTTCGGCTGTTTCACCATCAAGTCTGACGTGTGGTCCTTCGGAATTCTCCTGTATGAAATCGTCACCTATGGGAAAATCCCCTATCCAGGTACCCTCTATTTACCTATTTCTATTCACATGGTGCATATGAGGAAAAAACCTAAGATATAAGGTATTTAAAAAAAAAAAAAAAAAAAGCCTGAATCTAAAAGCTAAGATTAAGCTCTGTGTGACAATTTGATCTTATTGTCTTTAAGTGGAAAGTGTTCTAAAATATATTTAGACACTCTCTGCCCTCTTATTTAATTGAATGCTTATTCTTTTTTTTCAGTAATTAATTCCACCATTTACTACATGCCTGCCATGTGCCCAGCACCGTCCTCGGTGCTGGGATATGAGGGTGGATTAGAGGATCAGACACGCGAGCTCTGGCTAAGCCGTGCACCTGCTGGAGAGAACACAGACGTGGAAGTGGGGACTTAGTGTGCTTTTGGGTGCATTCTGAAACAGAGCTTTGTGTAATGTATTTTAGAGTCCCTGCCTCTGTTTATCAGTGAAAGGGATCTTTCACTGACCGGATGTGAGGATGGCATCCGGTGTTTCCAGATTCCCGCCACCTGAAGCCTTTGGCACCAGGTTCTGCCAGCCCTCTGTGCTCCAGGCTCTGTGCTGCAAAGTGCTAGAGAGGGATTTCTTCCAAACCCTTCACATCCTTTTAATATTTGGCTTTTAACACAGTTGATCGATAAGGTGAACTTAAAATGAGATATTTGATGTTTAAATCATCCCCTCATTCAAAACAGTATCTGAGGGGCCGGGCAGTCCCGCGGCGCAGCAGCCTCCGCTCCCACCTCCAGAGCTGAGGCTCCGGTCGGGACAGACCCACGACAGTCCAAGAGGCAGTCTGTCAGACAGTCTGTCAGACGAAGTGCACTACGGAGAGTCGTGACATGGTTGAGGGATTAGCGGGGAGAGGAGGAGGATTGCGGGGCCATACAGTGGTCTTGCGGGGACTCCGTGCCATGACAAGAGTGAGCAAGCCTCCCGGGGCTGCGTGTCCCACAGGGGAGACAGCCGGTGCATGGGATCCTGCGCAGGAGCCCGAGGCCACGTGGTTTGGGCTTCAATGGCTGAATGATTGAATGATGCTCCTCAACCATGTGATTGTCTCCATGCTGTGGGCAAGAAACGTGGAGGTGAGAGAGGCAGACGAGGCCAAGGAACTGGGGATGGAGTGGACCGAGGGCCTCAGGCCACGGAAGAGCTTCACATTTTACTCTGCATGAGATGGAAGCCATGGAAGGCTTTTGGACGAAGTGGCGGTGTGTCTTCCTGCTTGTGATCACCCTCACTGCCCTTGGGATGAGCCCCAGACAGCCGGGAGGGGGAGCAGGGCCTCCAGGCGGTGCCTGCCCAGTGGGGATGACTCTCCCTTGAAATCCCCTTTGTGCCTACATTTTATATTCCGACTACCACTCTGCTCCAGACTCTGAAGTTAATGAATGACACTTCCGTAAAATAGGGAAATATTTTTTTATCAACCCTGATGTCTGACATTATATATCTACATCAATAATCTATATATGGCCCAGCTGGGGTGGCTCAGTGGTTGAACATCGACCCATGCACCAAGAGGTTGCCGGTTCAATTCCCGGTCAGGGCCCATGCCCAGTTTGTGGGCCAAATCCTCGGAGGAGTGCATGCAGGAGGCAGCCAGTCGATGTTCTCTCTCATCAGTGTTTCTCTCTCTCTCTTCCTCTCCCTTCCTCACTCTCTAAATGATAAGACTCACACACACAACAACCAGAAAGCATGGGCTACTCTCTTCCCCAGTTAGCTTGTCCTTTGTCAAGACTGAGGATGTGGCATACCTTCAGGAGTTCAGAACTGAAGAAGTTAGGAAATGGGAGCAGATCCAACAACCCGATTAACTTAGATCTCCAAGGACTTGTTCACAGATGGCGGAAAACTGGCCAGCCTTTGCCAGCGGTGCCCTCCGTCCCCGTCACAAACCGCCTGAGGATGTTTCCTTTGCCTGGAAGAGCGCTGGCTGTGTTGTTAACTTGTTAAAAAATGGTTTAGAAGTTACATGTCTGGCCTTACAAAATAAAAAGGGAAAAAAAATAAAGGGAGGGCGGGGAGGAAATAAGAAAGCCACGTATAAATTAAACACATGTTTGTAGAGGAAAACAAAGACGAAAAAAATGTAATATATCAAAATGTTACTATCCTTGGGCAATGAGATAATAGGCTGTATTAATTTTCTTCATAAATCTTGACGTTTGAAATATATTATAAATATGTTTTTATTAAATATTTTAATACTTGTCTAAGCAATATATGCCCATGAAAAAATCAGGTAGTGCAAAAAGGCTTCCGGAGAAAAATCGCCCCCCCGCCCTCACGCGCGCTGGCGTTCCTCACAGACCTCTACTAATACTTGCTGTTCAAAGTTCTAAATATTACGCTATTATTTCTTAAGTAAAATTTGTTTCCCTAATTTTACGTATTATTAAATAAGAATGTGGTCACATGGTTCTAAGTTCAGGAGACACAAAGAAGTACATGGTGAAAGGTATGTCTTTCACCCCTATTTCTCAACCATCACAGAACAACATTCTGGGAATATGAAAATAAATGATATAATTTTTTCAATAAAAGCTACTTATTAAAATTCTAGTAGTCAAATGCTAAATGTATGGGAGTGCAGTCATTTCTGGTTTGAGTCCTATTCGCTGAAATAGGTACTTTGAGAGGCACATCCCAAACCACGGACTTCTGTGCACATCAGAATGTAATCTAGGAAAATACTTTCATAACATGCTTTTTAAAAAATGGCTTTACACCTATTAATTATATTTTGGGCAAATCTCAAAAATCCTTAGTCTCCAATTACCATCAGTGCATTTCAAAATTTTTTTGTTGTGTTTTTAAGGTTCTAGTCCCCATGGACTCAAAGTCACGAGGAAATTGTTTTCTTCGAGCATTTTCTCGTTCTCCTTGGTGAGTGAGCAGAGTGAGCCAAGGTCGTTCATCCCAGTTGCTGCTCTGCCTGATTTTGGAGTCTGTCCTCATGAAAATTTGAGGCATCAAAGTTATTATTATGCTTCTAATTCCTCCTTATAAGGTAGAATACATTCCCAAACAAAACTTTTTCTTGAGAAACTCATGACCTAAATAAAATGAAGTAGCTAAATAGATGCAGTGATGAAACTTGCTTATGTTATGAATGCTAAAGTACAAACCCTTCACCTAGAACTTGAAACGAGCCCTGCCACTAAGGCCACCTTCGGAAGTGGCGGACGATGGCTTCTGAATCCGCCTTCTGTCTAGGATTTCACCCCTTCTGTGGGAGAGCTCAGGGTCTCTCGTTGCCCCAGAAACGTCATGCGCTTTTGATGGAGCACTTTGTCATGTTTGTGTTATGTTGGGAACTTGTTTTGTCCCTTCTGTTTGGAAACTTACAGCATAAATCCTGGGAAATTTTCATATATTGCGTCTTTGACAATTCTGTCCTCTCCACTTTCTGTTCTTTTCCTGAATTGCGTGTTGATAAGATGGTAGACCTCTTGGAGTGATTCTCTGAGTCTCGTGTCTGCTCTTCTGTCCCTGTCATTCTGTCCTGCCCTGTTATCCTCAGGCTAACCTTCTCCCTTCCTCTGATGAGATATCTCATGGGAACGAGGGCTCTCTGGACCACCAGGCTTACTTGTCAGCACCCTCACAGGTCAGTATCTGCAGAACTTTTCTCTGGGACCATTCAGTTCCTTCAGAAGCAATCTTCCAGGCCCTGCCTATGGGGTATGATCCTGCCTGTCAGCATTCAGGAGGCTCCCTGGGGAGCAGGCAGTAGTGTCTTTTTTTTTTTTTTTTGTATTTATTTATTATGGTAAAATATTATACATGGAATAAAATTTACCATCTTAACCATTTTTAAGTATACAGCTTTGTGGCATTAAGTACATTTCCACTGTTGTGCAACCATCACTACCATCCATCTCCAGAACTATTTTATCTTCCCGAACTGGAACTCTGTACCCATTAAATACTAACTCTCCGTTCCCACAACCCCTCAGTCCCTGGTAGCCTGTATTTTACTTTCTGTCTCTGTGAATTGGCCTATTCTACGTACCTGCCATAAGTGGACTCATACTGTATTAGTCCTTTGGTGTCTGGCTTACGTCACTCAGCATAATGTCCTCAAGTTTCATCCATGTTGTGACGTGTCAAAGTCTCTCTTTTTCATGTTCAGCCTTTCTCCTCGCTCGCGTCTTTTGTCCCACACCTCACCCCACCTCCACCGGGCCTGGCGTTCCTTCAGTTTCTCCTGCGCTAACCTGGGGCACCTGCCAGGCGGGCTGCAGGTACAGTCCGGTCCGTAGCCGCCCACCTCACCTTTGCCTGTGTGGGAGCTGTGTGCAGCCTCCCAGGTGTGGGTGGTGGGATGGCGCATCTTGCCTGTCCCTTTCTTGCAGGCACTGTAGTTTCACGTTCCTCCTCTTGGCTCAGATCACTTCTGCCTCTGGCTGACAGGTGTCTCTTGGTTTCATCAAAGATAGACTTTAAGTTTCTATTTCTTGTTATTTTGTGGGGGGAGAATAAAGAGGAAAAAAGGAGATGAGCCCACTGGTCCTCACTGTAATAATATTTATATGTGAGTTTTCTAAAGAAAGCAGATGGGATCTTTGTGGTCGAGGTTTTGTTTTTGCTTTGCTCTTATAAAGAGAAAGGAGGTTTGAAAATGACAAAGTTTTGGGAAGTGTGTCTTTTCCGCTGTTTCCTCCCAGCCCTGTGTGGCCCTCGGAGTCAGAGCAAGACACCCACCGTGCCGCGAGTGCCCGGCCACAGCAGTGCAGGCGAAACGGGGCCGCCCTTTTGGAAGTACCGTTGGGTGGGAGACTGTGGTCCCACCATAGCTGGTACCTCCTCCCTCTCACACACGTCCAGGGCCCTTTGTCTTTAGAGATGTCATGGTGCTGGGCCGGTGTGGCTCAGTGGCTGAACATCGACCCTGCACCAAGGGGTCACCAGTTCAATTCCTGGTCAGGACACATGCCCGATCCCCAGTGGGGGGCATGCAGGACGCAGCCAGTCAATGTTCTCTCATCGATGTTTCTATCTCTATCTCCCTTCCTCTCTCTCTAATATCAATAAAGAAAAAATATTTTAAAAAATAGTAAGAAAATAAAGATGTCATGGTTCCTGGAGCTGCTGGGCCCCCATCTCCTGTTGCTTTCTGTTCCTTTCTGACCTCTGCTGTGCTGCATTTTTCTCCTTCCTGTGCTCCTTCCCCAACTCGTAGTCTTTGCTAATTCCTACCTGCTCCACATGTCCCTTCCTGCTCCCACCCACTTTCCTCTCGGGAGCCATCCTCCCCGCTGGGCTGCGTGCCAGCTCCTGACCCATCGTAGGTGCCCAGTGAGCGCTGGCTGGAAGAATGAAGGTGGCATACGGAAGTGCCTGCCTTTACGGTCACCAGCCAGTGGGTGTTTGCTGTCTTTGACCTAACAACAGAGCAGTTATCAAGTAGCAGCTTTTTTTAACCCTCAATGGAAGATACTTTTCCATTTATCTTCAGATAGAATGGGAGGGAGGAAGGGAGGGAGGCAGGGAGGCAGGGAGGGGAAGAGAGAGAAAGACAGAAACATTGCCATGAGAGAGACACATCGATTGGCTGCCTCCTGCACGAACCTGACCAGGGCTGGGACCGAATCAGCTTTAATCTTAGGGTCTGGTTGAGGTCGCCTTCCCACTCTCTTTCTTTCTTCAGAAAACTGTCCTTCAATAGCTTCATTTTGTTGTTTGGTTTACTTGTACATAAACAGGTAAACTCCAGAGTTCCTTCTTTTTATTCCTCTTATCAAGTCCAATTCCCCAGGCAGGATGGAGCATGCCTGGATTTTTCCTGCATCATTGAGAGAGTTCTTCAGCATTAGGAGAACATACAAGAACAAGGGAGGGAAGTCTGCCGTGGAGTCAGGGGTCCCCAATTCTGTGGGCACAGTCTGACCTTCTGTGCCATTGGGGATTCTCCAGGAAAGAATAAAAGATATTCTTTTCCTTTTAATTAATTAATTAATTTTTGTTACAGATGTTTCTCCTTTTCCCCCCATTGATCCCCCCTCCCCCTCCCTCCCTGCCTGTCCCCAGCTTTGTTGTCCATGTCCACTGTTCAAGCATACAAGCATATAAGTTCTGTGGTTTATCTCTCCCCCTACCCCCTCTTCTGGGGATTGTCATTCTGTACCCCACTTCCACGTCTCTGGGACTACCCCATTGCTCAGACTGTTATGTTCATTATATTCCACAAATAAGTGAGATCATATGATACTTGTCTTTCTGTTTGGCTTGTTTCACTTAGAATGATACTCTCCAGTTCCCTCCATGTCGTCTCAAAGGATAAGAGATCATGAAAGATATTCTTAACCAATTTCACAGGTCCAGCTGCTGTTTCTTTCTTTCTTTTTTTTTTATCCTCACCCGAGAACATTTTTGCATTTATCTTCAGATAGAGCGGGAAGAAGAGAGAGAGAAAAACATCAATGTGAGAGAGACACATCAACTGGTTGCCACCCACACAACCCCAACTGAGGCTGGGGACAAACTGCAACTGAGGTACGTGCCCTTAGTGGGAACCAAACCCAGGGCTCTCTGGTCCGCGGGCCGATGCTCTAACCACTGAGAAAACTGGCCAGGGCCCGGCTGCTGTTTCCATCATCCTGCATCGTAGTTCTCCAGGGTCCCCGACTGACCCAACCCCATGTACAAATCAACAGAGCAATTTCTTTTTTTTTTTATCCTCACCCGAGGAGATTTTTGCATTTATCTTCAGATGAGGGGGGGGGGGCATCTATGTGAGAGAGACACACGAAGTGGTTGTGACCCCAACCCAGGCCGGGGACATGCTGCAACCGAGGTACATGCCCTTAGCGGGAACCAAACCTGGGGCTCTCTGGTCTGCAGGCTAACGCTCTAACCACTGAGCCAAACCAGCCAGGGCAGAGAAATTTCTTCTGAAAGTTATTCACGTGAGCTTGGTTAGTTTCAAGAGTCAAGGCTATGCCAAAGCCACAAAATTTATGGGGACCAGAACCCCAAATAAAGAAAGTGATGCAAAGCAGCCCTTGGCTTCAAGCCATGGGAATCAAATGAAGTCTTCCAGTTGGAACATTCCAGTTACACAAATATCTGAAGATGGTATCTCAGAAATTGACATGAGAAAAAAATAATTCACTATCTAAACAACTTTCAAGAGATCTTAACAGTTATAAAGGTTGCCCAGATCTTTCCATTTCAAACCCAAGGGTGCTTCCGAGACAGAAATTATCATTTCTTCTTTCAGGGGTTTAAATCCAGGCAGGATCTTTAGTCACTGTGTCCTTTCGAGGAGAAAGGTTAGTTAACAGCAGAGTTCAAAGGTCACTAATATGATCCATGGTAAGCACTCTCCAGAATCCCACTGCATATATAAAACAAAAGTTTCAGAAACCACACTGACTTCTATATGTTACACCATCTTCTGATCATTTTTTATTCTGTTAAGTTTTTTAAATACTTGTAACTTCCTAAAAAATGAATTTGTTGATCCCAAATGAGTGGTGACCCATAATTTGAAAAACACTGCTTAGAGAGTAAATGCAAAAGAAGGTTCTGTTCCAAATCTAATAACAGAGTCTTTCCAGTGACCACCAGAGGAAGATGCAGGGCTCTGGAAGAGCCTGCTGTGATGAAGGGAGCTCCCCGTGTGCCAGAGAGTGTGCACGCTCTGCTGGAATACCGCTCCTCTCGGGAGAGCTCACAGCTCTGCGGAATGAGGAACACACAGAACAGGCAGAACAGGCAGACGTGGGGAGGGGCTGCCAAAGCTGCTGCGTTAGCTCGTTTCAATGTCCCGCTTTAATAATGGAGGAAAATGTCATTAAAATGATCTCTTTTTTTTTTTTTTTTCCTTAAAACTGTTTTTAGTAACAAAAATTGGAAGTTCAGCTTCTGAACTACCGTGAGACATTTGACCGTATTAAAACCCACCCTCCGTTATCGATCCTCCCACAGAGCTCAGTAGAGATAATGAACACCCGGTTCCCTCCCGCGGTACTGAGAACACACAGTCCAGAGTCTGTGTGAGCTTTGGCTGCTGAAGACAGACAGTTCAGTGGCTGGGACATAATCCGTGGGCTTAGCTGATTTAAGGTCCTGACTTCTCTAAGTAAACTTACAATGAAAAGCTGATTTTTAAAAATGTTGGTATGTATGTGCATATGGTTTTTATGATGTATTACAGGTAGAGGCTGAAAAGAATACTACAAAAGAAATTAAAAGTGAGGGTTAGGACTTGAGTAATTCATTCAAAAGGTCAGTTGAGTCCAATATCCTTTTGTCACAAAAGAGAACTTGCTTTGTCTTCTTCTTATACATTTGCCTGTTTCCCCTTTGGCAAATCGGATGCTGTCTTGATCCCCTATGTACTAAAATTGATATTATTTAGTTGCTTCCAGAAATTTTCTCAGCCTTCATATCAGTGTCTTCGGGTGTCCATAATAAAGCCACAGACTGAGGGGCTCGAACAACAGAAATTACTTTCTTACAGTTTTGGGGGCCAGAAGCCTGGAATCCAGGTGTCGGCAGGCAGGTCTCCTGGGGCTTTACCTTGGCCCACAGATGGCCACCTTCACACTGTCTTCACCACACATTCCCAGTGTCTCTGAGTGCTGATCTCTTCTCGTCAGGACACCAGTCAGATTGGGCCGGGCCCACTCTAAAGGCCTCGATTTAATTTGATGATGTCTTTAAAGGCCTCATCTCTAGCCCTGGCCAGTTTGGCTCAGTAGTAGAGCATCAGCCCACAGACCAGTGAGTCGCGGGGTCACTTCTGGTCAAGGGCGCGTGTCTTGGTCGAGGTTGAGGTTATTCTCCGGCCCTGGTCGGGGTGCTCCGGGAGGCAACCAGCCAATGTGTCCCTTTCAAGTCGATGTTTCTCTCTCTCCCGCTTCCTCCCTCTATCTCCCTCCCACTCTATTTGCAGATAAACAAGATAAAATATCCTCGGATGAGGATTAAAAATAATGATAATGATAAGAATAAATAAAGGCCTTATCTCTAAATACAGTCACATTCGGAGGTATTGTGGGCTAGGATCTCAACATGCGAATTCACAGGGAGCGTGATTCAGCCCTTAGCCTCCAGAACCTTCCTCGGCATGGATGCAGGATATGGGTCGCACGACCACTGCAGTGCTTCCTCCTGGGTCAGGTTTCTAAATGGTCTGACTTTTTCTTTTTTGCTTCAGGGAGAACTAATGCCGATGTGATGACCGCGCTGTCCCAGGGCTACAGGATGCCCCGCATGGAGAACTGCCCAGATGAGCTCTATGACATCATGAAAATGTGCTGGAAAGAAAAGGCAGAAGAGAGGCCAACCTTTGATTACTTGCAGAGCGTCCTGGATGATTTCTACACTGCCACGGAGGGCCAGTACCAGCAGCAGCCGTAGCGCGCAGGAAGACCTGGAGCCACCGGCCGGACGGCTCACTGGTTGCACTGGTTTCCATGTGCTACGATCACCTGCCATCCCTGCTTCCTGACATGAGGCTAAATGACTCAGGAAGAAACACTCTCCACGTGGAAAAGTATCCTTGTCTCGCAGGCTCATGCCCATGGCTCTGCTCCTTGGATGACTCCCGGATGGCCATCTTACTTTGCTAGAACAGGGGCTGAATACAGCCCTCTGAGAAGAAAGTGCCTCTTCTACCCAAAGGCATCCACTTTGGCCTCTTGTTTACAATCGGATGTGCAATTCAAAGGTTCAGAGCCCATTTCCATAAGTCCCTAATAGTAGCGGAACTAAACTCATTTATAAAAGTAAAATAACCAGATGCCTATCGTGGCATGTCTTTTCTCTATGCTTTGGTGTATTTGTTTAAAAAGTACTAATCCAACGAGTTAGATTTTGCAGGTAAAGTCAGAAGCTTAAAAATGTCTTTCCCAGATCTCAGTGATTACCCCTCCCCCTAAAATCTGAGACTGGTAAACATTTCCGTCTGTGGAGCCCAGAACCCCCAGGTATGAGCAGCCACGCTTTTCTGATCTCTTTCCTGTAGAAGGTGTCACCTGTGAGCCGTGCAAAGCTGCTGTGTTAAATGACGTGGCCCTCACCGACTGCTGGCCTTGCCCAGACCTCCCAGGGCTACCTTAAGGACTATTTTTCAACGGTCCGGCTTTTCCATTCCACAACTTCTTATATACAGACTTTTTGTTGACAATGTAATTTGGAAGAACAATAAGATTCTAATCTCTGCAGAACCTTATAGAGCCTTATAAAACATATGCATTTTCTTTCTTGCTTCAAATGATTTGAACATTATTTTAATGATCAAATATTAATTTTAGTTGTACTCAAAGTAAAAAACGCCTTATTTGGAGGTTACGCTGTGATTCAGCAATCTTCAAAATGGTGTAAGATGTGTGTGAGCCATATTTATACAAAATATGAGAGGAAATAAGTAGCTGAGAGGGCTCTGAGCCATTGTAGCAAGGAATGCAGGAGGTTTTGTTTACTAAATTTTTCTTACTACTGTAAACTTTGACTGGAAAATGCTATATCATGTTTCACTCATGCTATCATGTATATACCTAATATTTCTATTTTTTGATTTTATTTTAATACACCTGACCCAATAACATCTCAAGCTTTTTACTTCTGTCGAAGATTTTCAACGACTGTCAACATAAAAATGAGTACCAGTTGGGGGAGGGGGAGCTGAGAGTGATTCCACATGGTTACCTGGTTTAAAAGACGTGTGTACGTTCTACCTCCATCCTGTGAGCGTTTTCAGAGCGGAGAACTGACATGGGTGTCCGAACATCCTTGTATGGGGCCAAATAGGATTTGTTTTCAGACAGGCTTAGCAGGCACCGTTAAAATCTCACCTTGTAAGTGCTGGCTAGGCATTGGGTGCCTACGGGAAGAGACAAAATATTCTACTTTTCCTTAAATTTTATCTTCTTTTTGTGTGATTCTTTAAATGTCCTTTCTAAAATATTCCAAAAGTCTTGATGTGCAAGAGCCATATTCACAAAGATAGACTATCATCATAGAACGTCTAGTCAGCCACAGCTAGTCACTTGATTGACTGTGGTAAGTTTCCTACGTACACCCATCTGTTCACATTTGCTTTCAGAATTCCACATGTGGCCCAACATATTACTGGAGAGAAGGTGTAAAGAATTCCAAAAGCAAAAAGAAGTCTCTAGAATTACTAAATGTGTCCTCACCTGGTTTTTCTTCTATCAATTTTGCTTCCTTTTTGAAATTTTACATTCAACTTCTCCTCTAAGTCAAGCGTGTGGTCCTTTCCTCCACGTGTGTCCCGCAGCTCAGGCCACGCCACCCACTTTCGGCATGTGCTCCAGCGACACGGTGCTCAGTGCCCAGCACGCACCGCCTCCTCCTTTGGTGGTAGGATTCCGCCCTCCTCGTGGCTGACAGGCAAAATGAAGGGCTGAGTCAGTTTTTGTATAATCTCAGGGTTTCCAGAGGTATGCAGAGTGGTTTCCATCATCACATCTCAGGTCATTACTGAGAACCTGAGGACTGGAATGCCCACTCCCGGGACCCCGACTCAACTGTTCTGCCGCGAGGGGTATACATCTCCACACTTAAAAGGCGTCTCCAGTGAATGTTTTCTCAGGCTGAGAGCCCCTCCTCTGCTTTGACCCCTTTTGCAACGTTGTCTTCTGAAAAGAAGACCAGCCTTCTCTTTCTTCCAATGGTTTGGTTTCCCAAGGGAGGCATAGAGGAGAAAGAGAAAGTGTCTTGCCATTTTCCTTTCTTTAGGCTCACTGAACCTAAAATAAAACTTGGAGGCTTAACACTGGTGTCTCTAGTAGAAAGGCACAGCGTAGCCCCTCCTAGCATGCCTTCCTGGATTCTGCCAGAGTCCACGAGAGGAGCATGCCCTGACCAGGAATCGAACCGGTGACCTCTTAGTGCATGGGATGACGCCCAACCAACTGAGTCACACAGGCCAGGGCTAGCCTACATTTTGACTATGAAGTTTTTAGATTAAGGGAAAATGATCCTTGCCATTCTTCCTGATGGAAATGGTAATTAGAAATACACAGAGACACACCCACCATTTTCCTGGGGCTCCCGTTGAGTTTTGGCACTTTGTAAAATCACCTCTCACTCAGGATCGTCCTGGAAGGTGTGGCAGGTACTATCACTGGTCCACAGCTGAAAAATTAGGTGCCTGGGCCACAGAAGGAATACATTTGTTTCATATTATTTCCTTGTAAAGTGAAGCAAGTGAAATACCTCTCCGGTGGTATCTCTCTGACTTCGCTGGGTATTCTAAGGGCGAGGAATTCCTTATAAGATGCTGCACTGGAGCCCACATAGAAGTGAGGGAAAATTTCTTGTAGGTAATTTTATTTTTAGACAAAAAGTCATGCAAGAATTCAACTCATCATTCACACTTTTAAAAAGCACAATTTATATAGAATATGCTTTTGAATAAAATGCTTTGATAACATTTATGCTCCATTTCATAATGTGAAGATGTATTAAACTGATTAAATTTTATCCCAGAAAGTTCTAATCTGATAGATGTGCAGGAAGAAAGCCTTCCAATTAAATGTTTTGTGTTCTTATGAATCTAAATACATCAGAAAGGAGTGAGTGCCAAAAATTTCACAAGATTCCCAAGGTGGCCACCATGTAACACTGGGTACATCCCTTGTGGAAATAATAGGGGCAGTCTTGGTGGCCTTCATCTCTAGGTCCTTGGAAAGCTATTGGGAATCATCTGGATTAACCAATGTGCAATGTTAACACAGAAATTCTAGAATCAAGGGTGGATGCTTATCACAGAGCAAGAAAACAATCTGTGAATTTTTAAAAATTTTATTTTACACTTATACTGAGCATGGACCACTTAATCCCTGATTCGTTACCCTTAGCGTCGGAAGTATTTTTTATTTCAGGTTTGTTTTTTGTATTGTTATTATTATTTTACCTAAAAGATTAATACAAGGAACATATTGAATATTTGGTAGTAATGCCTCAGTGAACACTGGAAAAAATAACCTTTAGTCAAATAAAACATTCCTGCAGAAAAATGCCTGAACTTGTACTAAGTGGGATGAATATAGCCCATAAATTGCTTTAGGTCAGATTTTACCTCCAAATGAGTTCTAAAATGGTTTTCAGGGTGTTTTGGACTTTGGAATTGGGGATAAGAGGACAGACCTGGACCTAGAGAGCTTGAGGAACGTCCAAGAACTTTTAGTGTCAGTGGTGTATATGATTCAAATGGAGGTCATTGGGAGTGTGGTTGCCCAAAACCCATTTAATGCAGGCATGTTCCAAGATGCAAAATAGTTATGTGTCTCTTTAAAACATAGTCATTAATATAATCTGATCACGTGCACCTCAGAGAGGTCTGATACTTAGCAGTTCACGTTGGGGAACATAGTGGTTTCAGTTGTCCATGAGAGCTGCCAGTGTGCTGTGGTCGTAAACATAGTCAAGGCAGAAGTAGGCTACGTTCAGAGCTCAGAAAAGGCCACAAATGAAAAAGATGCTCTTTCATAACATGAAGGTCAGACCACTTGGGAGCACTACATTCAATTCGGAACGCCTGACGGCAGATTCTCAAGTCTCAGCTACCCTGGAAAAGTCCCTTGGATGTGGGCGATGGGGTGTGCATGAAAGAATCGGGAGCATGTCAGACGAGGACGTCTTTAGGCAGCTCCCGGGAGCCACAGGGCAGATGTTTTGCTGAGAGAGATCAATGAAATCATCTTTAAAAATTTGCTCTGTCAGAGATTTATGTTTTGAATCCTTTGTAAGACTTTTTTTTTCAAAGTTGGTCACCACTCCTAATCTCTTTTTTTAAACATAAAATTTCTTTATTGATTTTAGAGAGAGAGGGAGAGAGAGATAGAAATATCGATGAGAGGGAACATCGACTGGCCGCCTCCTGCATGCCCCCCACTGGGGATCAGGCAAAAGGCCCACAACCTGGGCATGTGCCCTGACTGGGGATCGAACTGGTGGCCTCTTGGCACATGGGTCGACGCTCAACCACTGAGCCACACCGGCCGGCTCCACTCCTAATCTTTGTTAATGTGCTTAACTTTAAATAAGTCTTTAAATAATAGCTGTTCAGTACAGTGCTTCCCTGAGCATTTCCCTGACTACAGGAACTGTGCGTGCGTGAGGGACACGGGCATTTGGTCCCAAGTTGCCTGCTTTCCGGGGACAAGTGCAGTGGTGATATAGGAAGAGCAAGGAAAGTAGCCTAAGGGAAAAACAGGTACAAAATGTGAAGATCATTCTGAGGAGAGATCACAGGGTTGCGTACAAGAATAGGCTTCATCCATCAGGGACATTAGGGATTGTCTTTGAAGGGGGACAGGCTGGTAGTGGAAAAGGAGAGAATGCAGGGTGGTTCAGGAAAGGACACAACCCAGCAGGAGTTGGCAGAGCAGCGTGGAAGCATCGAAGGACAGAGACCCCCAGACTGTTAGAATTAGGGCTGCGCTTCTCAAACTTTAGCGTGTATCAGCGTCGCCTCGGAGGCTTGTCCTAACAGATCACTCCCCCCCCCCCGCCCCCCGGTCTGGTTCTGTGGTGAAGGTCTGGGGAGGGGTCAGGGAATGAGAGTTGACCTTCCTGGCCCTGAGCCCCCCTTTGAGACCCACTGGACAAACAGGAGCCGAGCAGCAGGGGAACCCAGTGAATCAGGAGGCCACCTGGAAAAAATGTGAATCCTGGCTGAGAAGGGAGGACTTGACTAGACCATGCTGGTGGCCCCAGCACACATCTGAGCGTCTCATCAGAGAAGCACAGCACAGAGCCCCCACCCCACGCCCACCCAGTGGTCTGTGGAGCCCTGTTGCCTGGCTTCCTGCCCAGGCCCTGCTTACTGTGCTCATCCACACAGTAACGGTGAGAACAGTGCTTGCCTCGCAGGGTTGCTATGAGAGATTAATGCAGAAATACTTCATTAGAAGCCACACCCATAGTTAAGCCAGTGTGTTTGTGAAACAAAGACATGAAATCAAGATGTTTGTTGATCAAGATGTTAAGTGAAATGTGATGTCAAAAATGCACATTGTGAAGTCCATTCATCGACCAGCAGAGGATGGACAAACAGGAAGAGCAACAGGAGGAAAGATAATTCCTGGACTCCACTTGGGCTGCTGGGGGAGACACTGCGGCAGGTGCTAGCACCCGGATGTTGGGGTTCGGATGTCTGGATTCGGGCAGGAGTGCAGAAATCTGCTTGTGTGTTTGTTTCTTAAACAACCTTCCTTCCCTATCTGTGATTTAAGTATTCATTATAACCCTGAGAAACTCACCCAGGAAATTGGATGTTGGAGTTGGTAGTAGTTATGGGTTGAATAATGTCCTCCCAAAATGGTATGTTGAAGTACTAACCTCCAGTAACTCAGGATGTGATCTTACTTGTAAACAGGATTGGGATGTGGGGTGACCCTGGTTATTGGGTACCTGGCCCTGGGGTGATTAGGGCAGAGGAACAGTGGCCCTGAGTGTGAGAGCAGATGGAGGAGGTGGCGAGGGTGTGGGCTCTGGACCAGCTGGTTCACCCGTGAAAGGTGTTCTTACAGGGGAGTCATTTATTATCTCTAGCAATTGGCTAACCCTGGGAGGGGCCCTCCCTGCAGAGGCAGCAAGGCCCCGGATGTGCACACGTCAGAATACAGAGGGGAAAAAACAAAGCCAAGATGAAGATGCAGCGTCAAGGTATCAGTAATGTGGAAGAGGAGCAGAACAGGGTGGAGCAAGGAAGGGCTTTGCCGTGACCTTTTCTCAAGGGCAGGAACCCCACCCTGCTGGTGTCTCATCCCAGCACCCAGAAGAGCCCCTCAGCTATTTCTGGAAGGCAGGGTGGGGGAGAAAGGATTGCAAGCAGTTAGAGACTGGTGGCTTACACACAGAGTTTTATTTCTCATAGTTCTGGAGGCTAGAAGTCTGCGATCCCCGTGTTGGCGGGGTGGGCTCCTTCTGAAACCTCTCCTTGGCGTGTAGATGGCTGCCTTCTCCCTGTGTCTTCTTCCACACTTGCCTGTGTCCAAATTTCCTCTTCTTCTAAGGACAGCAGTCATATCAGATTAGGGCCCATCCTCATGACCTTATTTTAACTTAATTACCTGTGTAAAGACCCTAACTCACATTCTGAGTTACTAGGGGTTAGGACTTTAATGTGTGGATTTTTTTTTTTTTTTCAGAGAAAGAAAAAGGGAGAAGGAGAGAGATTTAGAAACCTCGATGAGAGAGAACATCGATTAGCCATCTCCTGCATGCCCCCACTGGGGATTGGGCCCACAACCTGGGCGTGTGTCCCGACCAGGAATCGAACCAGCGACCACTTGGTGCATGGGTCGGTGCTCAACCACTGAGCCACACCGGCTGGGCTCAACATGTGGATTTTGGGGGGACACAATTCAGCCATAACACTCTGTCTCTCAGAAAATAGAGATTATGAACTAAAGAGGCAGCCAGAACACAGATATGGTGTCCCTGCTTCCCTGTGACAAACGTCAGGCCAGCTCCCCCCTTCGCCCCTCCTGGGCCTGGCTCTGGCGGGGCTCCGCACCTGTGTCTGCCCAGCTGGAGGCCACTGGAAGCGCTCAGAGCCCTAGTTCGCTCACCACCTACTTTGTCAGGTGGCCAGGGCTGTTGAGTCTCAACTAAGAAAATGACTTTTTAAAGTGCATCCCAGTCTACAATGGACTATGTTGGTCATAGTAAGTGGGGAAGACTGTCACCAAAATCACTGCCCAACAAACCGAGTGTTGTGAAGCTAAGTTTACTGAGGAGAAAATACAGTGTGTGGAGGTTCGTGCAAGATGTGGCCTCCAGCTGGCTGCTGGGTGGAGGCTTAAAATAAGGAGCTTTTAAAGCCAGAGAGGAGAAGAGGGGAGGGCCAGGAGGGGAAGGCGGGGGGAAGGACATCAGAAGCAGGAGCAGCCTCGATTCCCATACGCAGCATGCACCCTGAGCAAGTACCTCGCTGAGCCTGCCCCACCGGGGGGCAGTCATCTCCCTAAGGCAGCTGCTGGGCACCAGACAGAGATGAACCTGGACAGCGCTCTGCTGCCCCAGCAATAAGCACAGAGGGATCTGTGACCTCACGAGGGAGCATGAGGAGCACCTGTGTTTCCAGGCACAAACAGGTGTGATCATCCTCCATTCCATCGCTTGGCCCAACCAGCTGAGGCTGGCAACAGCTTTTAAAAATCCCAAACTATATTCCAGATAAAGAGAGTATGAAATACTTAAAAATCAGATTAAAACTTTCAATTCCAAGAGTTAAATAGAATAAATATTTTTATCCTTATTAATCAATAACATAACAAAGAATTGCTTTAAGGAATAAATTCACATATATACAAAATTCTGGGACAAATGCTGTGGATTAAAAAATGAGGCCCTCTCTCTACAAGACAACAGAAGCCTGAGGTGGAGGAAGAGGTAAAAACTCCGCAGGCTCCTCATTTGGGAGCCATGCCTCTGCCCAGACACACCCTCACGCCAACATGCAGCAATGTGCATAAGGGCCCTGGCGACAGGTTAGTTGGTTCAAGGGTTGTCCTGATACACCAAGGTTGCAGGTTCGATTCCTGGTAAGATCATATACAAGAATCCACCAATGAATGCGTAAATAAGTGGGACAACAGATCGATGTTTCTCTCTCTCTCTCCCCCTCTAAAAAATCAGTCGATCAATAAAAATTAGCAAACAAAATGTGCATAAGGTTTAAAATCTGAATGTAAACCCCACAAAGAAACTCCCACATTATTACACCAAGTAATGAAAAACTAGACTCTCTCCTTTGAGAGAAAATTTATTTTAAAACTTTTTTTAAATGACAGAAAGAGACTTCTTTTTATTATTTTAATATACTGCCTCCTATCAAATGCAGGAGTCCAGTTTTTGGTGTTTTCAGGCACCTATGTTAACTTTTTAATGAACACTTTGGGTAGAATGGTAGTGTAATTGAGCCGAGATCTTAGGAAGAAAACTTAATTTCCACCGTTCTGCTCGCTTACGAGAGTTCTTGAGAGGGTTAGGTGGCCAGCACTGCCCCAAATACAGATTCGTCTCCTCCTGTCCTTCCTTGAACTAAACTGAATTAAAGTGTCCACGTCCTTTCCCTGAGTCTCAGCATACTAGTGAGAAGATGTGCTGACGGGTAGCATTCAGGCTCTGAATTAGAAATCACTTCGATGAAAAGCCTTCTTTCTCATTCATCAGCTCTTTTTGTTTAGATTCTCAACCAGGGACACCTTGCTTAGCTGCATAGTCTGAGCAATATCATTTCCCTTCTTGCCATGAGTTAGCCGTATACAATTTGCCCAGTTTTGTAAAATTTCATTATTAATCAAAACCTTTAAAAATATTAATGCTATTACTGGACCCAGTCAACTTCTACAAATCTTGAACATGTGTAATAATGTAAAAATGCTTAAATAACTTGTAGGCTCAAATGTACTCATTCCACCACTATTTATAATGCAAAAATATTGAAACTCTTTA